ATAATTTTATTTTTCATTCATCATAAAATGAAATCCAAATCCGAAATAAGTAATAAGATCAAATTTCTGTAAGCATCATTCTTATGTATTGTGAATTATAGTTGTTAATCCCAATTTGGAACTGCAGTGAAACGAAAGTTTCATATTCATCTGGAATGGAAATTAGGTATTACTACTCTGATCCTTTTGTGTGTGCATACCAAGAAAATAGAGCAGCAGGAAATTAAGGAAGCAGCAGCTTGCATAATTTGTCAATATGCTTTGGATTTTTTGAACATACATTCTTAGCACATATTAAGAGTATATTAATTATATTTTGTTTTACAATAATTATTAAAAAATAAAAATTAATTTTAAGTTTAATAATTATTTAATTAAAATCAAACATATTATTTATATAAAAAATTAAATTATGTTTTATAATTTATATATATTAATAAAAAAATATAATTAATGCAGCGTTAAACATTAGGCAAACACATATACTTTTGGCCTAAAACTTTGGCGTGCTTTATTGCAGGTGTCCAATTACACTGCAATATCTTTGATTGGCAAGTTGATGGAATCAAGCCTCCTTAGGCTCACGGCATATGTTTATTTGATTAAGTACTTTTGATAAGAACACGGGAAGATTTATTAATGGCACCTGGCCCGAAGGCCTTCGAGCTGTCCTTGCAGGTGCATATTCCCTCCCCCATGGTGGGTTTGAAACGCACCCTTGTAAATCTGGTCCAAAAAAAAAAAGGGAAGATTTATTAATGACAAGTGGGAGGCACCATCGCCTGTGAAAAACTTGAAAAGAATGCCATCAACATTCAACGGCGAGATATATAATCACAAGATTCAATTTAATAATTACCAAGTTTTACATACAACTTTGCATTCTCTCATATAATTCAATTGGTTATATTTTTTTGTATAAAAAATAAAATGAAACGCAGCATATGATTATATTGATTTTTCAATCAGTACTCAAACAGATACAAACTTATTAATTATATTTTTTACGGTAAAAAAAAAAAAATTTACATACAACTTTGAATGAAGATTAAACTATAATTGGACTTAATAAGGAGTTCATTAACAATTTTTTTAACAAGAATTGCTCTCCACTTTATTTAGTGGTTGATGTTCAACTTTTTAAAAAAATTATTTAGTGGCTGATGTTCAACTTTGTAAAAATATCATAGAATAAATAATTTTTACGAATTTTTTAGTTTTTAATGTGATAATATAGTCATTAACAGTTTAAGTAGTATAAAAGTAATAATTTTTTTAATAAAAATAAAAAATTTTAAATTTAAATTATATGAAAGAAAGGGTAAATTAAGAAATAAAAATAAATTATTTTTTATTATACAATTCATAATTAAAAAGGAAAAAGAAAAAGAAAAGAAAAGAAAGATAAAATGATGCACGAAGTTAGGTCGTGAATATGGAACTTGCAAAAGATTATTTTTTTGTTAGACAAAATGGTTTCAAGCTCGAGGGCGTAAGTGTTAATACGTGCCGAATCAGGTCCCAATCTTAAATTCCGCCACCACTAACTTGCCCCCCTACCTTTTAAACCCCCACTTTTTTCTGCTGCTCTGTTTCTCTCTCCTCCTGACTTTTACAGGGGGGGGGGGAAGCCATTGGCCATATTATATAGGAACAGTTACCTTCACTATATATACCCTCTCTACATGCGGACGGACCCAGAAACAGAAAATGGTGGATGATTTCATGGTGTGTGTCGACAGGATCATAGCAACAGCTTGCTTTGAGTCAGTCAATAATGGGGGAAGAGGAGCAGAGGGAGACCGTGAGAGACCGTCTGGGAGAAATGTTGATGCCAAAACAGCTGATAGTGTTGTTGTTTCCGTGAAGCAGAACGGTGACGGAGGAGAAGGGTGTTCTTCGAAGAAGAGGATGAAGGAGATGGTAGAGTGCAGGATATGCCAGGAGGAAGATGATACGCATGAAATGGAGGCTCCTTGTGCCTGTAATGGTACTCTCAAGGTCTGTGCTTTTCTGGATTTTCTATAAAGTTTCAGTCTTTCAGTCTTTTTCTGCGTCTGTTCCATGTTGGTGTTGGGTCTGCTTGAGTCAATTGAATCCCTGATTGTATACAATGTAGAGTGTATTAGACTGAACTTAGATTCTGCTCACATTAAAATGTCCATAAAAAGAGTCTCATTGTGAGCTCTTTATTGTTCCATTTTTGGGGATTTTGAGTTTGAAATCAGAATGTTTCTTTTTGTAATTTGAAGTTTGTATTTAATTTCTTGGTCCTTGCATCTGCTTTTTCTCCTTTTGAGTTTATTAGAATTTATTCTTTGGTTCTTTTGGCTTGTTTCTGTTTGAATTTTGACTCTTTGTTTCTCTCTTCCTGAAGGAAGTTTCTTTTAACATAAAATTAGAAGTTTTGATTATCTAGTCGTTTAATTGAGCTTCAATTTCCTTTACATGCTGATCTGGTATTTCTGGGAAGTGGGTATTTTAAATTTTTGCGTTTACAAAGTCTTCTGTTTTCCTTTTTATAATTTTTCAAGGTTAAGAAAGTCTTTACTATGCCGGTTTTAAAATGTGAGTATTTCTGGATGTGTGAATTTGTTTGGTCTTTTGGTGTGTCTCTTCCTTCACTTGAGTTTTGACCTAATGCCATTTCTCAGTTGTTGTGATTCTCTGGGTCTCACATATAAAATTTAAGATGCTTATGCTCTCTCCTTTTTTTTTAAGATTTTTGGGGATAAAGTAAATAAATATCCAACTTTAATTAAGTTACCTAGCTTCATAAAGATTTTGTTATTTTCTATCATCTAACTCTTTTCTATTTTTGCTCTAGTTTGCTCATAGGAAGTGCATTCAGAGGTGGTGCAACAAGAAAGGTGACCTAACTTGCGAAATCTGCCAGCAGGTTGGGGGGTTTTTCAGGATTTATTTCTAAACACATTAGTTATTCGCATAGCAGGAATAGAAAATCATGTGATTCAGTTAGTAACTTGTTCAATTTTATTGTGTTTATTAGGATTTTTCTCCAGGTTATTCTCTTCCGCCAACTAGAAGCGATGCTGAAGTGATGGCAATTGATATCAGGTAGCCTTTAAGTGGCTTGTTAACCTATAGTTGTGGCCTAATGTCTTTAAGTTTTCCCTTATTCTGCTCAGATTCTGCTCAGTGTAAATGTTCCTCAATAAGAAAATTACTTGTATTAAGGAAAGTAAGGGCCTGTTTGGTGTGGCTTGTGAGAGCTTTAGCTTTTTGAGTACTGTTATGAGTGATAAGTTTAAATTTTTATTGGAGGGAAAATAGATCTTTAGCTTTTAAGAAGGTGAAAAAGTGAGTGAAAAGTAAGTAAAAAGGGAGTTTATGAAAAGTTTGGATTTGAAACTTTTGAACTTTTACTGTTTAAGAGTTTTTTGAGGTTAAAAAAATATTTAAAAGTGTAAGTTTTTAAGAGGAAAATTTAAATTCATGAGACATGAATAGTGTTTAAAAGCTGAAGCTCCAAGGAGCTGCACCAAACAGGCCCTAAGTCTGCTGCATTGAATCCATAGATCTGGTGAATCTGTTTTGATATAACTGTGTATATATATTGTATATATTTCTTTCCTATATGACTAGGGTATAACAACTGCTGCCTTGTGTGTATTGTATTGTTGTTGGTTTACAATCAATCAATGAGAAAGTCTCTTTCCAATTCACTGCTTTTCAACCCTTTAACTTGGACATCTTGGGCACATAATTATTGAAAGGGGAAACGGGTTGATGATAGATTTCGTGCCATTGTTGTAGAGTAGGTTTGTCGTTGGGTTTTAGTTGAACCGATATATTCTTGCTTCAATTTGGACAGATCTATTATCTAACCCATTTTATGGATCAACGCTGATTTGATGTGTGATTGATTTTATGAAAGTGAAGTGAAGCATAGAAATAAACTCAGTTGAATTTAGAGTATAAGAATTGTAATATTTAAGAAGAGGGAGAAGATTTGGTGGAAATGGAATTCTATTTTATTCATAATCTGGAATTAATGTCTTTGGAAAAACATTTGTACCTCCTCCACATTGGATGTTCTTTTATGGTTGCATGCTTTCTGTATCCCGAAAAAATGGAACTAGCCAGGATTGAAATGTTCTTTTCATTGACATCTGGGGAAGGAAGTATGTTACATCCCTCTTAGTCATGGGGCGTAAAGTAGGCCGTGTTTATTGATTAGGGGCTGCTCTTGTCTATTTTCCTATAGTGACCTTTTTTAAAAAAAATTGAGCTCAAGTTTCATAAACTTTTGATTCCTCATCAGGCAAGCATGGAGTTCACACATGGAACTTCGTGATTCACGTCTTCTGGTTCTAACTGCATCAGAAAGTCAGTTACTGCAATCAGAATATGAGGATTATGTTGCTGTAAATTCTGGTAGTCTTGCCTGCCTCCGTGCAGTTGCTCTTATCGTAAGCAAACAAACATATACCCATGCTGTTTCCCTTGTCTGCTTAACAATGATCATTTGCATCACCAATATGAATTTGTGTTGATTTGAAATACATGCAGTTGCTGATAATTTTGCTTGTACGCCAATTCCTTATGTTGACAAGAGATTCTAGCATGGTCCAGGAGACTTCAACATTCTATAATGTGAGTCAAACATAATGCTGTTGACAATAGGCATGCTTGTTATCTCTTGATTCATGCTTTTTATAAACATGCCGATGCTATTAGGATACTGGATGTTATTGATACTTAAGAGCCTGTCTATATTTTTGCCACAGTAATGCATGCATCTTTCATTTCTAAAACTTGCATTTTTTGAAATGATCGATGTTCAAGCTGATGAATACCATATGATGATTGAGACCTTGGAATAAAGACTGAATAAGTTTAGTTGGTAATCAGTTCCAGGTTTTACTTCTTCAATTTGTTGGCTTTCTTCTACCATGCTATGTGATGGCTCGCACATGGTACATACAAAGCCGAAGGAGAAGACAGGTCAGTTGTTCCAGAATATAAATTTTCTCTCATCTCTTAGGTGTTTTCACCAATATGGAAAGCTGATGTTCCCTAAACGTTTATTCCAACCAAAATCTGAAAGGAAATTCATCATTTTAGTTCTGCCATTGCTATTGTTCTCATACTTGGTGGATCTAGAAAGCAAAATAGGCCTAAGTTCTCCTCCCAATATAATACATCCATAACTCATTTCCTGATGTTTTTCTCCTTTTCTATTTCAGAGTTAAAGGTCTGCCAACATAATATCCTGCATATTACTCCAACAAGGACAGCCTTCTTCTTCAATGGACTCATTCAAGTTCTCTTGTATATGACATGACATTTTCTCAAAGATTTCATTTTCTATCAAATAGGTGCCACAATCTGCAAAATGATGGCTGAAATCCATGTTTCCCACTTGCCATGAACAAACTCGGAAGAGAATTGTAAATGTAATTGTGAGTGTATTGGGTTCCGATGTTCAATTCAGTGATCATTTCATGCCCCTCGAATCTTGGAAAATCAAGAAAATACAGATAGAGATTGAGATGACACAAGCTGAACTGTTGAAGAAATCACTTTCCTAAAATATATAATCAGCAACTTGGATCAACAACAGTAGCAATAAGACAAGAACAACTAAGCTGGACTGATTGAACTTTCATTAATTTTTATAACCTTTGGGAAAACGACCTGGAAGAAAGAAACCAAGGTTTTTATAGAATTTTCAAAAGATCTCCCGACAAAATACATCAAACACAATCTTCCTCCTAAAAATATCATGACTCATGGAAGAGAGATTTTCTTTTTTAATTAAAAAAAAATATTATTATTTTTTTCTACATAGTGATTCCCCAAACCATTGTAGCACAAGGAGAGAGGTAGATTTTGCCAATAATATAAAAACGTACTTAAATAATCATGTGGGCAAAGGTATCTCATTACCCTTGTTAAGAACAGGGAAAAAAGGACAAAATGGGGTAGGTTGTTGTCTCCTTGGCAAAAAGCTTGTGCCTTGAAAATGAACTAGTTTATCGCATAAAAAAATGTACTAGTTTGCATCTTCAAGAAGCCTTTTTGAACTCTGGTAGGGAAGGGTTTTGACCTTAATCATTTAATTAAATTTTTAATTGTCAGTTAAACCAACCACATCAAATCCTGCACCTAGATTCCTTTTTAATCCTAAACTAAATCAAGAAAATGGCATATAGCATACAAACTCAATGTTTACTTTTAATATACGTTACTGAATATTTGACCCCACTAATTTTAATCATTCTTGAAGAGATTCGAATCATTCTACGTTAGCAAAATCCAGATACAAAATAGAAATAATTGCAATCTAAATTAACGTAGAATGAAGGTGTGGTTTAACAGCGAGTGTAAATGTTTTACTAGAAATGTGCTAACATTTAGTTTTTGACTCAGTTGGGCATTGCTGATGACCAAGAACTAAATACAGAGTAGTTTAGCTTTTCTTTGGTTTGGAAATTCAACATGCATGTAAATATAAAGAATTGTCAAAAATTAAGATGTTTTGGCAATTAAAATATTAGTAATTTTTATAAAATTATTTAAATAAATTTAATAAATCAATGAATAAAAAAGATTTATTAAAGGTATTTAAATAATTTTATAAGAAATACTAACATTTTAAATATTATGATATCTTAATTTTTACTTTTATCTAAATATAAACATTTCTTAATTAAAGTAAAGAAAACAAACTTAAAAGTTAAAATAACAGAAACCCATTAACAAGTGATATCTTTTTGTCTTGTATTGCAAGTTTATAACACTAGAAAGATTTAATGAGTTCAATTTTGTAATGAGTCCAAAGCTAATAATGCTGGGAATTAATCTTCTTGTGAAGCAAATTTCAAGATTTGGGGTCATTTTCATTCCATGTTTTGTGCCATGATTTCCGTTGGGTTCCATTCTCTTCCTAAATGACCCATTGCTGGTGCCAAACTAGGCAGATACATAAACAACAAAACAAAATCGATTTAGACAATCAATCTTCGTTCTGTGTTGGCGTGGGGAAACAAATTAAACATTAATCTCGTGGCCAGGGACACAGCCAATGAAGGGTAAGGTGGGGCAGCCGCCCCCCTAAGCTTTTGAAAAATATTTAATATGGTACTCTAACTTTTATTTGTTAAAAATTTTGTTTTTATAGTATGAATTTCAAGAACTATTTCAAATGTAGAGAAAACATTGAGGATTTAAATAAAAAGTTTTCAAAATATAAGGATATAATTCAAGTAAAATGAATTTATGTCAATTAATTAATTAAGAATTAGGGTTTTTAAACATTTTTGTCATCTATTAAGTCCAAAATTTTTTTTGATTATTTATTTAAATAACTTTAAATTTAAAGTTTTCTTTAGTACATATTCTTTTATTTTCTTTCTTAATATTTTATATAATAATTTAAAGTTTTTTCCTCTTAGCATTGAGATACATTTTTACCTTTTATAATTGAATTTATAATTTTTTTATTAAATCAATTTAAATTAGAGTTCATTTTCTAAAAGAAATATTTTAATATTTTTTACAATATTAGTATTTATCAATATGACTTCTTAAAAGTTAAGAGAAAAACACTTTAAAACTATATTATTTCAATAAAATCAAAATACTCTTATTTCTACTTCAGAAATATGGTTTTTTTTTTTTTTTGTCTTTCTCAATACAAGTTTTTTAAAACAATTTAATTTTATGGTGTTTTTCCTTATAATTTGTTAAAGATTCAACTAATAAAAACATTTCTCTTTTTTTTTATTCATTCTTCAATTGATTATTACATAATTTATTACTATAAGATTTTAGTTTTTATTATGATTGAAAAAATACATTTATTTCTAATTTTTGCTAAAAATATATCAATGAAAAATATCACAAAAAAAATTTTTTATAAAAGAGAAAATTTAATAAAAAATACTCTTAAAGACTTAAATCGTGAACAATAAATTTTGCCCGCTGAGTGGGCTTCTTGACTCCGACTCCGCTGGTGGCAAGGGTTTGTTCGGTCACCCACCAATTCTCTATTGCAAGAACAAAGGTTCGATCTTTGAAGTGAGATGCTAATTCTTTGTAAATCCTCTTTTCTTTCATACAATAGTGCGCATGATTGCGTTTGATTAAAATATTGTTGTGGTATTACTTTCATTAGAGAAGATAGAAAAGGTGTTTTATTTTATTATTTAAATTGTATTTAATTAAAAATATATTATTAGATAAGAGGATAATTTTTAATATTAAAAGATTTATCTATTTAATAATTATATAATATTTTTTTATACATAAAAAATCAAAACATAAGTGTTTTTCAATTATTTAAATATATTTAAGAAAACTATCATTCATATTTATTTATTAATAATCTTTTGATAATTTTAATATTTAATAAAAAAATACAACCCATATTAAAAAATATCTTTTGCAAATCAGAATAATGTTAAAAAATGAAAACCGCTGTTGATAAATTAAAAAAAAAGGAAATAAAAAGTGCAAATGCTCTTTTTTTTAATTATAAAAAACTGACCTTTTTTTTCTTTGAATTATAATGAGTAAAAAAAATTAAGCTTAATATTGTAAGATAATAATATAAAAATAATTTTTTATATA